GTTTCCATTTAAGTCCCTTGATTGTGGGAATTTTAACGAGCCTGCCTCCTCGCTCCCCTCACAACCGCCTCCGTCACAGTTTGTCACAACCATCCGGCCCCTGGGGGGGCAGTTCTGGAGAATGGCGTTCCCCCCTCCCCCACCCACCTCTGTTTGTTTCTTTTTCATGTTTTTTTTTTTTTTCTTTCTTCTAGCTTAAATGGCATTTCTCCCCCTGCAGCTTCCCCCGTCTCCCTCCCCAGTAATGAGGTCCAGGGGAGATCATTTCCCCGGCTCTGCGCATGCCGGCCCTAAAGCGGAGAAATCCCCCCCCCCCGCCTAGGGAGCTTTCAGCAATGCCGGTGGCTCTACAGCGCCCCCTTTCCCTAGGGGCACCAGGCACTGGCGAGGGATGTAAGGCTTTTTCCGTATCTGTTTCACTCCTTTCTTCTCTCCCTGACCCGCTGAGGCTGGAAATTGCCGGTCGGATTTGCGTGCCGCTCCCGTCACACGTCTTCGTGCAGGATTAAAGGCGCCACATTGTGCGCAGGTTCGAGCCGCCCCTCCGCAGAGACGCACAGCGCTAGCACACCATCCGCATAATAAAACCTTGGAAAATGTAGAAAAAATACAAGTATGAGAGGTTTTAATATGCCTTTGAACTGTTTTTTTGTTTTTTATTTTTCTTCCCCCCTTGCCAGTTGTGTTAGAAATGCCTTAAAAACTTCAGAGATGAAAGTCTCTCTTCAAAGAGCCCCCTGTTGCCCTAACAGCCCTTATTTCCCGTGTCTTTTTCTGCAGTTAAGGTGTTAATGCCTGTATTACCTGTAAACTGAGTCACTGCGGGTCTTTGCTCTCAGGGTAGCCGCGCTTTAACTCCCGTTGAAAATGAAAGTGACTGAGGGTGGGGGTGGGGGGGGAGGGGACTTTGGGGAGGGGCTGGTTGCTCTCGGCTCATTATTGGCTTATTTGCAGGTTGGCAGGTTGACTGGTTCTCTAGACTCTAACCACTGGGACGTGTGGCTGTGAACTCTGCTGCCCCTGGTGGTGAATCTCTGCAGTTGCATTGTAATATTGCCTCGTCCTTCACATGCTCATTCTGTCACGATGGGCGGGACCTGACGGCTGTACCAGTTTGAGCGTCACGGAGGTGAAAATTACCTGCCGACGTTGCCCAAGAGGGAGCAAGCGAGGGCCGGTGCTATCTGCCGAGGGCCGGGCTATCCGGCGAGGGCGGGGATATCCGGCGAGGGCCGGGCTGCCCGGGCTCCACAATTTTGCTAATTGTGCTATCACATACCGGTGGGATTATCTCCCACCCCTACACCCCCCACCAGCTCCCTCTACAGTCAGTGGACTGAGGCTCACGTTCTCACACACTCCCCGGCAGACGGAGGCCCCGGAACGTGCCAGCGGACGTCCAGAATTCTGCCATTTATCGATAATTAAGACGCCGTATCCCGAGAGGAAAGGAGGCGCGCCCTGACATTTAGGCTTCTCGCTCCTCCGAGCTGAAAAGTCCGCAGACAAAATGCCTTCTGATGAATAATTTAGCAGCCGCCCGTCGTCCTTTCCCCCCCCCCCCTCAGAATAAGCCTTAGTGTCGCCTACTTATTTTATTTAGTGTAATTATTCAGGCGAGCTCGTTAGGACTGAGACGGGGGTCACAGCGGATAGATCAGTAGAGGGTGACAGTAATGGCCTGGGGGGGTGATCCAGCACCCGAGCCGTACGGAGGCATGTGAGCACGTGGGAGGGGGGCGCTGGCCCTGGATTCACCGCAGCCAGCCGACGGCCCCCTGGCGAGTGACCCGCTCCCCCTTGTCCGCCCGCTCCCCCTGAATCAAGCCCGACGTTCTTCTCACGGGCCCTGCCAGCGACTAATGAGGAGGAGAATCGGGCCGGGCGTGAGACGCGGCCGAATGCCGGCACCAATCGCCTTTTTAAATTAGTCGCCCGTAATCCTCATCTGGTCCACCGGGGGGGGGGCCGCTAACATCAGTGTGATTTCCCTAAACGAAATGTGACAGCGGAACCCGTGATGGCCCCCCCACACCAAAGTCACCCTCTCAGACATGTAACGCTTCCCTGGTTTCAGGCACCAGCTGATGGTGACCTTGCAGAGGGGATGTTAATTGGTGTCCCAGTGCAGTGAGATAGTGCCCCCCCCTCTCAGACATTTACATTAGGAGGGTGCGCTATGAGCTGCACCCCTTGCTGCGAATCCCTCCGGAGGCCGGTCCATGCCGCCTTTATTCATTTTTTTCTAGACCTTCCTAATTCCTCTTTGGAGGCGCCCCCTGGTGGCGTCTGTGGTGTCCGGCAGCATCCCATTCGTTTCCCTCCGGTTTAGCGCTACGCCCCGAAGCGTTGCCGTCGGATACGCTCAGCAGCATTCGAGAGGAAGGCAAGTGGAACCAAATCGTCTGTGTTTCGCTCTGAGCCACGGAAAATCTGCTGCTGTTCTACGGAAAAACCTCTCCGTGAGATTAAAATTTCCGTGCATTTTGACGCTGTCGTGCTGATTCAGCTTGACTTTAGGATGCAGGTTATATGGGCACTGCCAGTTTGAGGCTGCATGATCGCACTCCGTAATACATGCTTCTGGTCACCAAACCCTTTGCACCAGACCCCGCTTGGACCTGGACCCGAAAGCCACATGCCCTCTGAACTTTAAGAATGTTGCTTTTTTAAATAATCAGTGAATGTATTCAAATATTCATTTTATTTTTATTTTCCTGTGTTTCTTCAATGGAAATGGATGCAGTCCGTGTATAAAATGAGTACCAGGAATAATGAGTGTATCAGAAAAACAGCTTGAAATAATCAGTGCTTTTTTTATTCGTGTACCGCCTTTCTGAAAGGTCCGGTAGCATAATGAGGGTCCCGGGGGTCTTTGTGAGTCTGTCCGTGCGCGTTCCCTGATCTCCCACATCTCATGTCGGCTTTCATGTTTTCTCGAAGGGTTTTGAGCCACCCCATGATCCTTTGTGGCGACCTTAGATCTGCGACCGCTGATGTCTTGAGTTAAAGCAAAAAACTGTGTAGCACAACGGCTTTGCCATCTCCTAGTTCAATGGGTTTGGATTACAGCTGGCAAAAAGTTTGAGTTGGGAATATGATTTTAAAAATTATTTTTAACAACCAAATTCTCGTATGTTGGTTGGCGAACACTTCTGACAGTGTGGAATGAGTTACACAACCTATCGAATAATCCTGCTAATAGACAGTTTAGTTAGAGGCAATATGTGCTCTAAATGTGGGTTAGGGCGTGGTACCCGTATTCGGAAGGTCATTGGTTCAAAGCCCATGTCTGGCAGAGCGATTTCATTGTTAATCCCCAATTGTCCAGTATAACATCACTGTGGATCACAGTATCTGTTCAGTAAGTTAATGTAAGGTTTGAGAGACCCGTCACCATCTGCCACTGCAGTGTGGTTGTCCTGTAAAGAGAGGCCTTTGTGGGTGTATGATGGCTGGAGACCATATCGGAATCCGGGACCTTTAGGCCAGTGCTGGGTTTTTTGTGGCTCTGATCCGCGTCCTTCCGTGTGCCGTCATGTTAATTACAGCCCCAGCTCTCGTCTCGGGTGTCCTCGATGCGGCCAGTGTTCTGTACGCACTGTGGATCGATAGTCCCCCTTGTCGGGCGTTTTTCTTAGTGCCCTTGGTCGGGGTTAAACGCAGCTCATGTTTCAGTGGAGACACGTCGGGTTCGTGTTCCGCTACGGCTTCTCGTGTTGCCGCTTCCCGTGCTGTTACCGGGGGAGCTCGGCTCATGTTGTTGGATAATCGGACCCGTGACACGTGTTCAGTTTAGAAATGAATATCTTGTTTTGCTGGTGCAGGGACTGCCCCATTGCATCATGGGAGATATCTGTGCTAATTTCCAGCTTAAGAGTAGCGTCGCTGTACATCATGAGCAGGCTTGTGGCTGAGCCTAACCCTGCTTGTTCAGCTTGGGGGGGGGGGGTCTCCATCCACACTGAGCTGAAACAGTCACCCAGGGGGACAATTTCCTCGTCAAGCACAATTAAAGTTCATTTTTCTTTGGCGTCTTGTGAAATTTGCTTGTGCTGCGATTTTGTGGACATGCTCTGCTGTCGCCATGGTTACAGGAGTCGTCTGAAACGGCCGGAGTGCAGCACTCTGCTGTGCCTGTCGCCCGCGGTGACCCCGGGGTGCACGGCTCATCTAATTACCCCCCCACTTCCCCCCACAGGCACCCAGATGGCCCCACAGACCCCCGGGACCATGTCGGACGTGGGCCCCCATGCTGCTCTGAGCCAGTCACCCATGTCGCAGGAGAGGGGTAGGTCATCTGCCCCCACCGCCTGACCCACCCCGCCCTGGGGACTTTGCTGTGGCATGTGTGCCCCCTGTGCCCTTGGTATTGTGCCAGGGGGGCTCAGTGTCAGTTTCTGGTACCCTAACTAACCCCCCCCCCCCCCCATCAGCACCACAAGAAAAAAAGTCACTTGAGCTATATAGCTTGTGTGTCCGTCTGTCTGTGTGTAGACCTGTATTTGTCTGTCTGTCTCTTTCTGTGTGCATATGTGTCTGTGTGTGTCTCAGCGTATCTATGTGTGTATATATCTAAGTGTATCTGTGTGTGTATCTGTGTGTATCTGTCTGTCTGTCTCTGTGTGTGTATCTGTCTGTCTCTGTGTATGTATGTGTTGTCTCTCTCTGTGCTCTGAAGCCTCTCCCTCTAACTCTGTATAACCTGCTCTTAGTGCCGCCTGCGCTCCCCACCCCCCCATTTTCCAGCCAATTTAAAATGCCGTATTAGAGTGTTTTCAGAATCCCTTCTCTAATGGAAGCAAAACATTACAATAGTGGGCCAGCCACAACCACCCCCTCCACGCCCCTCCCCACGTAAATACGCTCACACACACGTGTGCACTAAGCTTTCTCAGCTTTATCACACAACCCCCGCCCGCCCAGTGAATGTTGATGGGGGGGGGGGGATGAAGATTCCTTATGCCTGTGCAGCCCAGTGGACCAGCGGGTCCCTGCAGCCCCCTAACCTCACCCCCCCCAGAATTTACACTTATTTAGCGATGTAGCAGGGGCTGCATTTACAACCTTTTGTGCGCACCCCCTACTCACCCGACCCCCACCCCCGCTCTCTGGCTTTAAAATGTAATAAAAGGGCAGTCAGTTTAAAAGCTGCTTTTCGGTGGCGATCACTTAAAATGTCAATTTCCATGTGGAAGGCTGTCTCAGCGCAGAGCGGCAGTCAGTCGAGTGACACCCACTGAGTTTTAATTGCCTTTTAAATTTGAATCGTGGGCCCGTTTTCCGTAGGAATGTGCGTGTTCTGCTTGATGACGCCAAGAAAAACACAGCAGTTTTACATTTTAAAACTAGTTTGGCCCTGATATGAGTGAAATTTATGTCTGAGAATTGGACGTAAATTTCTTCTGTTAAGTTTATCAGCGGCTCCGATGAAACCGCGGCATCGTGGCCTGCAGGTCGCTGGTCCAGGTCGGCTGTGATGTCAGCTTGACCTTCTATGAACGAGATACACAAGCGGAACATTCTCTATCCACCGATTTCAAGGCGGGAGCCAGAGATTCAATATCTAGTCTTTCTGACCAACTCCAGCAGCCCCACCCTGAGTACCTCCCCCCCCACCAAGCCCTCTTTGACGTGTCCTCCTTGCTCACCCCTCTAGGGTTCATTCCTGGCATGCAGAGGAACCCAGCCGTGCCCCAGTTTGGCCCTCAGTCATCCGGTCCATCCATGTCTCCTCACCCTTCACCGGGAGCCCAGATGCATCATGGGATGGGCTCCTATCCCCAGAGTGGCTCGAGCAGCTCCTACGGGTCTCAGAGTGGCCAGTACGGGCCCCAGGGTACGAGCTTGCCCCTTCCGATCAGCAGCGTTGCTTCACTAATTAACAGATTGCAGGGAACTGATGCTGGTGAGATTTTAGCTGAATAGTTTCAGTCTAGAGCTCCATGATGCCGCCATCTTGGTTCAGCATCAGCATTTTTTAGAATTTGGTAGAATCTCAGCTTCTGGTAACTCCTGCTGCTGGACAGGATTTCTCTTGTCTGTCACCGAGTCTCTCTGATCACCGATCGGCACACGCACACACCTGCGGTTGATGTTGGGCGCGTGTGGCTGCCAGGAAATGCTTCTTCCCTCTCTGTGTGAGTAACGCAGGGCCTTTGTGAGGTCACTGGAATATTCATCAGTGATTTGAACTCGGCGCGGCCTCTCTCTCTCCCCTTTTTATTTTAGCTAAACAGGCAGGGGGGGGGGCAGGCGGAGCGTGTAGCTTCTGAGCTGGGTGCCGATGTCAGACTCATTATAAAGGGTCACCGTTTTAACGCCGCCGCCACTGAGGGGTGCTTTGCTCAGAGCTGCGGGGAAGTTTGTTACTCTCTGTCAGGGATTGGTGGGGCCTGTTTGGTGCCAAAATGACGGGACGGACCCAGCTCCTGGCCAGACTGGGGAGGACCCCTACTTTGGGTCACTGAGCTGAGCAGGTGCCACTCGCTGTGCTTAACTACACCTCCCTCTGCTTCGCGGGATGGGCGATGTGCCCCCCGCCCCCCGGTGGAGGCGTGCTGCTAAATGCACACAGACCCACTCGCTGCCTCTCTGATGCCTTGCAGTCGTTACTTAAGGAGGTTCCTCCTCGTGCAAGGGAAGAACCTTCTAGACGAGGAACCACAGTCTAGCTTTTAAGGTGGTTTGCCGCATCGTTTCTGACCGGTTAAATGCACTGGCCACGTGGCCCCGCCCCCCTCAGTCCGGGTCTTTCCGAAACCTCGATCAGCATGTCCCGGGAGGCTACTGAACCCCAACCCCCCCATCGGGCCGCCAATTTTCAGCGACCTGCCGCTAAAGGTGACCATGGCACCGCCTCGCCACGCTGGCATAGAAACAATGGAAATGGGTTTTTAGCTGGTGTTCCGGTCTCACGGCCTCCATTTCTGCGGGGAGCCTGGCGCTCACGCTCGCCGGAAAGCGTGAGGGTGCCCCCGCTCTCCGTGTGACTGGCACCGAGACGCGGCCCGGCCCAGCAAATATCTGCTTCTCCTCGTGTGCCCGGATGCTGTAGATGCAGTGTGACATGCTTCTTACTGCTGTCCGGCTCTGTTGGATCCGATCAGGCGTCTGTGGGACAGTCACTTTCGGGAGGCGCCAGAGAGCCGGTCCAGGTGTCCGAGGAAACGGGCGCTGGCCTTCTCAGACAGACATACACCTTTTAGAAACAGGGGGCATGTGGTTCAGAATCCCGGCAGCCCCCGGAAGTGGACCTCTGCAGCATCCCGGAACCGTGATGCTGGCAGTCGACCGTGAGGGTAGGAGCCGCTGGCCCCGGGTTTGGTTCTGGAGTTAGAGCTGCGAGGTCTCTTTGTAGGACACAGTGCCAGAGGGGCGAATCCTTAGACAGATGGGTGAATTGTGGGAGAATCTGTACGCAGTGAATCTCTCCGCATGTATGTATAGAACGTTTTCACACGCGCCTTGAAGCCTGGGATGTGGGAGAAAGGAGAGAGAACACTTTGAAGCGACGAGAAAAGGGATAAGACGACGACTTGGAAGGAACATTAAAGGATGAAGCAGCACTGGGGGGGGTGTATGGCAGGATAGGACATCTCCGCAGGCCTCGCTGTCAGTAGTGCAAGAAGAGGGAGGACTGCCAAGAAACCCCCCCCC